GAGAAAGAACAGAAACCAGAAATGGCTGCAAAACCCGTCGAAGAGCCTGAGGTCGAACCCTCAGTAGATGAGGTCAAGCCCTCAGTAGATGCTGCAGCTACTGCAGCTACTGAAGAAGTTGTCGAGAAAACCGAGGAAAGCACAACTGTTGTTGATAGTGAAGAGGACAACAAAGCTCCAATTGAAGAAATCAATGAAATCAAGGAATCCAGTCCTGCTGAAGAAGCCAGTGAAGAAAGCAATGAAACCCCCGAAGAATCCGAAAATCAAGAAGCTGAAGAGACGCCTGAGATTAAGGTTTAGGTTGCTAATCACAATATCTTTTGTTGTGTTGTGTTTTTTTTCTTTGTTTTATACTTACAATACTTCTTTCATAATTCCAATTTTGCAGATTGAGACAGCACCAGCAGATTTCCGTTTCCCAACTACTAACCAAACCAGACATTGCTTCACCCGATACATTGAGTATCATCGGTAGTTAACTAAACTTGTTTGCTACCTTTCTTTCTTGATCTAATCTTGATATATTCTTGAAACATTATGATTTATATCAGTATGTTTTTTTATTTTCTCAGGTGTGTTGCTGCTAAAGGTGATGAAGCGCCCGAGTGTGACAAATTTGCTAAATACTATCGCTCCCTTTGCCCTGGTGAATGGGTATGTTGTCATACACTAAACATGATGCTGCTTATAATTATTTATATATTGTTAGCATTTTACATTCTGACCTGCTTTATTCTTCCCACTTCTCCTGATAAATTAATAAACGAAAAGAACATATGAAAATCAGGTTAAATAAAGTAAAATAAAAGGAGGGCCGATGCTGAAATAGGAAGTATGATTGGGAGCAATCGAAGAATTCTTAACTCTTTGGCGTAGAATGCATTTTATAATAAAAATAAATAAATAAAAAATCAGTAGTTTCATGACTTAGGGCGATGAAAAGGCTAATCATGGTTTATACTTGACCGCAGGTCGATAAATGGAACGAGCAAAGGGAAAATGGTACTTTTCCAGGTCCTCTGTAACTGAATTCCTCAGAGGAGGTTTCATCGTTTTCGAATCATACTCCATTTATAGAATTTTTCTTGTAAGCATGCTGAGAAATAAAAAATTATGGGTCGTGTTCTTCTGAAGAACTTAAAGCCCGAACTGTAATGCGGTGGCAACAATTTCGTCCTTATTGATTTGATGTCTTATGTTCTAAACTCTGGCTTCTTCATACGTGAGTATTTTTCCTTAATTTTTTTTTTCAAATTTATTTATTTATAAATATATTTATTCAATCGTA